ACGTTCTCTTCGTTTCATGATTACAGCTTCTACACAGCTTATACATATGTACAATCACATTAGTCATAAACCGTATTTCGCAGTCATTATCCACCAAAGAGTTATGGAAATGCAAATGAGATTTGAAATGCTTATCACTCCAACCTAACCCATCCTTGTACGTTTATTGTCACTAGCGAATGTAACCCAGGTTTTCAATTCTATGGAAAATCCGCCAGCATTTCCCTACATTTCTCCAAGTACACGATGTAGGCGATTAAACACACCTACATAGTTACCCAGAGAACACAGTAGAGAAATGCATGAAAAGGCAGGATTTTCCCTAGAATCAAAAATAAGGCTTACATTCACCACCTAAGTGAGAATAAGCGTACAAGGACAGTCCCAACCAGGGACTATTTAAGACATACTCCTAATGTGTATGCCTTGAACGGGTATGTAGGCATATGATTATGCAAATGATCTGATTCATTTATTATATATATATATATATATAAAGTGAAGGACACATGCATTTTACTAAACAGAGATATATCATAATTAAACTAAACTAAGCAAATAAATAAGAACGTTATTAAATATTATATTAAACATTAATTATATCAAACAAAAATATTAAACTAAATACACTAGCATACACTTTATTAAACAAAACTAAACCAAGTTTAACTAAACTAAACTAAACTAAATTAAAATAAACTAAACTAAGCTAAACTAAAATAGACTAAATTAACATATTAAATTACCCTAAACTAAACCAAACTAAACTAACATGTTATAATTACAATAATTAAAAACTAAACTTAAATAAACTAAACTAATCTAACATATCATAACACAAACAAATCCATTTCAAATATTTCAACAAATTAAAATATAAATACAATAAATTGTAAATACAATAACTAAAAACAATAATAAACTAACATATATCTACACAACATTAGGATCTAATATGCCAAGTATAAACTAAATTTATAAATTTAGCTTTAAAATACTCTCTAACCTGTAGATCTGAAGATGTTATTGCCAAAGAACCAATTCAATCTACAAATCCTACAAATATTCAAATTACAAACAAAAAATAAACAAAAAATAAAAGTATAAACTATATTTATAATTTTAGCTTTTAAATTTATGCTTGCATTTTGTATAAAAAAAAATGAATGATGATAAATGTGAAATTTTATTAAAAAATAAACAAAAAAACAAAAACAAAAAAAATAAATAAAAAGAAAACCAGACACTACCTGCTGGCGGCGGCGGCTGGTGGGCGTTGTGGTTGAAGACCGGCCAGTGAGTGAGGCTTTGGGGTTGGTGGTTGTTAGTAACAACTCCGGTAAGCCCTAGGTGACATGGTGGTGGTTAGGGTTTTCCGGAAAACAAAATAAAAAAAAAAATTGAACCAGGAAAGGTCTCTTACCGGCGGCGGTGCAGCAGCGGAGGGGCGGTCCGGCGGCGGTCTGCGTGGCCCTATCTCTCTTCCTATTTCTCCTTCTCCCTTTCTCTCTCTTCCTCTTCCTCTTCCTCTGTCTCGCTCTCCCTTTCTCTCTCTGCGTTTTTTGGTTTCTGGTTGTGTCGGAACCTGAATATTCCGAGGGAATAATTTCCGTCGAAAACGTTTCTGAGGGAATGTTCCGTCGGAACCAGAATATTCCGAGGGAAATACAATTCGTCGGAACATTATCGAGGGACTATTCCGTCGGTAGGGAACTTTTCCGACGGATTTTTACTACAACTACAATTTCCGCCGGAATTTTTGAATTTTCCGAGGGAATTATTTTCCGTCGGAACAATTCTCTCGGAAAATAGCCTATTTCTAGTAGTGTAAAAGAATGATTCTACTTACTTATAACCCAGTTAGAGGTGATCATTGGGCGGGCCGGGCCGGAGCTAAAAAATTATGCCCATTTTTCGGGCGGGGCCGATTTTTTGTGCCCAAACCCGCCCAAAATGGTCGGGTCGGGCCTAAAAAATCAACTAAATATGCATAAAAACGCATTTCCAAACCCGTTCAAAAAAAATAAATTCGGGCCGGGCCGAGCCCAACCCGATTTCGGGCCGAAAAATTCTGCGCAAAATCGGGCAGGGCCATACTTGATCAGCTCTAAACCCAGTACTATTCCTTTTGGAGTAATTAACCGACCCTGGGTGAGTACATTTGATTATCACCATAACCCCATTACTCAATTAATTGTAGTATACGTAAAGTGGTTACACCATCAACTAATGGTGTGGCTAACCACATATAAAAATTTGGGTATTTTTTTTTAATAGTTTCCAATGTGATATTATAATTAGGGATGAAAGTTCGGTTTGCGATTTGGATTATAGCCAAACTGAATCTAATCCGAATTAGTTCGGTTTTGGATTTCTAAAACCGAATTCAATCCAAATTAATTCGGTTTTGGATTTCTCAAACCGAATCCAAATTGAATTAAGATTCTGTCAAATCCAAACCAAATCGAATTAATTTGGTTTGTCTAATTAGAATCCGATCCAAACCAAAATTCGTTCCCTTCTTTTGTAACATTCAAACCCGAAACCCAAACTTCACCCAGAAAATTCCTATAATCATTCAACCTTTTCTTGTTAAATAATACATTCACTTCTAGTATCCACTAACAACGTCGAAGAAATTGAGAGAGGAGAGGGAACTGGAGAAGATGTGACCGATGAGGGTGGCCGGTAACTAGATCGAAGTGTGAAATGAGGGAGAAAGTGAGAAGATGTGGCGTGAGTTGTGAGATGTAACTTTGTGAATGAGTGAGGTATATATATATATATATGAAAGGGGAAAAGAGGTTAGAATACTTTGTAAAAGAAAATGGGCTTAATGTAATGGGTGAAATTTCAGTTTGTAATTCGTTTTTTTTAAACCCCAAATCAAATCCAAACCATAATCCATATTTTTTTATTTTTCCAAACCGATCCAATCCGAATTAAAAAAATCCAAACCGAACTACTAATTCGCTTTGGTTTTCGGTTCAGTTTTTATCAGACTTATTTTCACCCCTAATTGTAATTAAAGTGTCTCAAGTTATGCATTGCCTAAAAAAATATGTATAAAATCACGTACATAGAAACTAAAAATCAAGATGAATCTAACAAGATCACGACTATGTTTGTTGTAAATAATTCAATGCTAAGTTTTATGCCCAAATTATAAGTTGCTAATAAAAATCCAAATTCAATTCACTTGTAAAGGTGACAAATTGGGTGGGAGAATGGGTGTGATTTTCTAGAGGTAGAAGCGGTGTGATGGTTGCGCGGTGGTTGTGGTTGAGGGGTGCCGTGGTCTTGCTTGTTGCAGTGCTGTCAAGGTTGGGCTTTGATTATTTGTGATCTTTTTCATGCTTCATTGTTCATGGTTTATTGTAATTTTTGCCCTAACGATTATTTTGCTTTGAGATGGAAGAGTGATACTCTCTCCGTTTCAAATTAATAGTTTCATTTTGACTTAATACGGTTTTAAGATGCACCTTTGACTATCAATATTTTTAATTATACAATAATAAATATTATAAAAATTTAATATGATAAAACTCCACTTCGAGAGAAATCTAACAATATCTGTAGAAATTTGCACTAATGCGGCTTGCCTTTCATTCCTTGCTCAATCAAATATATAGGTTACAAGATTCACTAAAACCTAGAATAAAAGTTGATCTAGAATTTTAGGAAACTAACTAATTTACAAGATATTCACCGTACATAAATCTCCTAACAATATCCCACAAAAATATTCTGTAAATATATCACAACATATCCTCAATACCCCCCCTCAAGTTGGAGCATCGGGTTTGAGAATGCCCAATTTGGAGAGAAGAAAATCAAACTGAGACTTTCTGAGTGCCTTTGTAAATATATCTGCCAATTGCGTTGATGTTGGAACATACGACGGATCAATCAAACCTTAAGTTATCATTAAAAAATTTCCCGCGAAAAAACAATATATGATGCAGCTTTATGGTTTTTAAATTATATTTTTAATTATTTTACTTAACTTATTATTTAGAAGTACGCTGTACAATTTTATTCGGAAAACATGCGTCATTAGATTTAATATAATGTATTCACTTTTAGACATTTTCAACACAATTAATCAACTACTCCGTATTTTTTTTTCTCACAATATTATTTTTGATAATTTTTCTTATATTAGCTTATTTCTCTTATACACATTGCAATTGTTTATTCTACTTACATGAGTTCATTGTCTCATTTTTATTTTATAACACAAATTAATCACGGGAAATAAAAATTGTGACTTCCGTGCATCGCACGAGCCCTAATCTAGTGAAAATTAGAAACAAAACATCTCGGCTATTGGATCTAAGTACAAAATGAACAAAATCTTGCTAATTTCATAATTCCAACTTCCACTTAAAAACTACTCCCTCCGTCCCTAAATATAGTTCCCATTGACTTATTTGGGTCAAATTTTAAAATTTTGACCATAAATTTCCGTTAATTTATAAGAAATTGTATATTCATGAAGGATCTTGTTGAATTCGTCACATTTTATATTTTATTAATATCAAGTTTTTATAATTTTTACGTATATGAAAATAGAGATATAGATGTTTTAAAGCACGTCTTGGAAACCATGAAAAGACAATAAAAAGTCGAATGAGAACTTTATTTAGGGACGAATGAAGTAATTAATAACGCACTTTACTAAGAATGTCACTACTAACAATTGATGATGGCATTGGAGAGTAAAATGGCTTCAACCATTGCATGCACCAGCAATGAAGTGATAAATTTTCGAAGAAATTTAACAATTACCATTTCTAATCTCCAATAAAAACTTTTTTTCAATCCCATTTTACTCTCTATTTCTACTCCACTAATTTTGAATAGAAACCAAAAGATGTAGTGTACACAGCTCTCAGTTGTCAAATTAAAATCTTAATTTAATTACAAATTGGTTGGAATTTTAAGCTGAAAAGAAATCGCAATAAACAAGAAACTTTTTAAAAATATTACGAGTTGTTTTTGTTTTTTAGGAAATACATTGGAGTAGCTCAAATTCATGCAATTATGAATCTCTATAACTTTAATTTGTATGTTCGCAATTTTCTTTCATTTCTGTAGTTCTCTAAACTTGGAGTATATGATATCACAGTTGTAAAAAAAAACACACAAACGTGGCAAGTAACACGTGACAACATTGGTAAATTCACAAGGTTTCTCACCACACCACCACCACAACATCCCCTTCTCCCCCCAGTCATCTCTCTGAACAACAAAAGCAAAAAAGAACCTTTTTACATGCTCTTCTTTCTTCCCTCTTTTCACACCACCCTTTTTTCTTCTTCAGAATCAAAATAAAATATAAAACAAATAACAGTAACACCCTGTCCTTTTTATGTACCAGAATTACAAATCCATATTATATCATAAATTAAAAATATAAAGTACATTCTACCATTACTACTCCTACTATATATACCCATCTCTCTCCCCCATTTTTTGGGCCCCTTTTCATACAACACTCTTCTCATTCTTCTTGCTCTCTCTTCTTCTCTAAAGAAAAAAAAAAAACTCAATTTTTATTTTTTATTTTTATTTGATCATTTATTTACAAAAATGTCTTCTCCACCACCTCCATCTCATGTAGGAGAGTCATCATCATCAAGGCAAAGAGCGAGAAATGGAAATAATGGAGATGGTAATGGGAATGAGAGCGGAACTAGCCGAAGCCGACGACGAAGGCGAAGGAGACCGCCAACAACTTCACCACCGCCAGAGTCAGTGGTGCCAGCGGAGGAAGCATCAACTTCGACTCGTGGCTATAATATTAATAATAATGGCGGTGTTTGGCCTGAACCTTTTCTTGAATCACTTGCTATTCAACTTGCTCTTGATATTACTTCTTCTCATGGTCGCCTTGCTGTTGCTCCTTCTCTTGCTATCCTTTTCCAGGTTAGTTCTTTTTTCCCTTTTAACATTTTTTTTTTCTTCACATATTTAGGTTATTATTATTATTAGTATTTTCTATTACATACATTCATATGTTTCATACGTTACTATTTTTATGTCACACTACCCTCATTATTTTAAGATTTATAACTAAATATTAATTAAACGGACAAATTTATCAAAATAATTTTAAAACTCGAAACAGGATTATGAGTTTTTATGTGCATAGAGTAAATGTTAAAGAACTTTCGGAGATGGAAGTATGAATTAAAAAAATAATATAGGGAAAGGGTCAAGTCAAAGGGAAACGTCCAAAGGAGGTAGAAAATCGAGAAAATAAAAAGTGAACCTCTTGTCGTAGTTATTCATGTCAAGTGTGATTAGACAGTTTAGGAGCAGAACTAATATATTATGGAAGAATGTGTCACACAACATAACATAACTCTTATTAAAATCTTATTTATAGCTTACAGCTACCTATAGCCTAAACTTGAAGATAACTCTACTACTTACATTATATTTTTTATTCCTATAAACAAATCCAAAATCTTTATATGAGACCTTATTATGGAGTTTTAGATCTTAATTACACTCTTTAATGATTGATTTCTAGAGCAAAATTTGTTTTAAGTAGATGGATGAAAAAAGTCATTAGTCGATCAGGTTCAATTGGGTCATTTATCTTACATACGTACGTGCGTGTCGAAAAAAGAAATTAGTTAAGGTGCGTGTAAATAGTTGGGAGGGAGGAAGAGTACAAGAACATCCTGTATAATTGGATCCTGTATAAGCTGTTGTTGGATCTGGTGGTATGTAATCGAGGATATCAGTGTGGTTATTTTCATCCTTTTGGAAATTTCTATTTTTGGTGTTGAAAAAAGGCAGAGGATATAATTGTAACCCTGATCACAGAAAATGGAAGCATTCTTTTTCTGGATTTCTTTTTATTATTTTTCTTAGAAATAAATAATAAATTTTCCTTTTCTTTGCATCGATTTCTTCTAGAAAATACCCCTGTCCATTTTTATTTTCTATTTTCAAATGTTTTTTAATTTAATAAAATAGTTATTGACTTTTGAATATTCCAAAATAAAACAGCTAGTCAGAGTGGTTGGGTCTGACCTTAGGTTCTTTTTCTTCATATAAATATATGTACTCAGATTGCTATTTTTATATACTGAACTTTATACTTAAAACTAAAACCTTATTTCTTCATATAAATATATGTACTACTCTACCACTCCTGAGATTGCTATTTATATGTACTGAACTTTATACTTAAAAACTACGGAGTAAAAGCTAACCTTATTTGGTTAATTATATTATGGTATAGATTACTAATCGTACTAGTATTACATGTACTTTTAAATTTGTACATAGTAAAGTTATAACATAAAAATTTGCGATAATTAAAAGGCGTAATAGTTTTTTTTGTAGTGTTCTTTTGGATTAAATTACTATGGAATTCATATCATTCCGATAATTGCATGGGATGAAAAACTAGTTACATAAACTACTTGCAATTCCAATAATTCCGAGGATTTGAAAAACTTGTTGCGTAGGCCGAATTTGAGGAAGGTGTGGGACACTGCATGTAACGAACCATCAGTTATAACTCAGCATGTAGGGAGTATTTGGTAAGCAGCTAGCTAGCTTCTCGTAGGTTTTCCTTGTCTGTATTTGTTTATGTAATAAAAAGGGACTATGAGTACTTTATTAAGAACTCCAATATTAAAGACGAAGTTCTAGCTGAACATCATAAACCTATAACTCTACAACTACAAAGCTACAATATATGCAACTACGTTGTTGAATTCCATAAACTTTCACCCATTTAATTTACTACTTTAGCGACATAAAGTGTGAGTAGAACATGTCTAATCATTGTCAATAATATAAAAACGGATGTGATATTAATAGTCTGTTACGCCTAAAACACGAAAATCTTTAAATTAGGACACTCACGTTGTATCTTAAATTAGGGCACAAATATTTTTACCTTAATACAAATAAAATTAATAATTAGGCAAGCTGATTTAAACGATACATAAAGTTCAATTTTCAATGAAATAAGTTTAGATAAGTACTTCGTATTAGTAAGTTCAGTTAAGTAAAACAATTATATACCCTCACGTTACAAAGAGTAAAACTGTTAAATCCATGAGCAAACCCACATTTAAGTGAAAGCGTTGTCCGGTCCCACATTGAAAGAGTATAAAGGAGAAGATAAATACTGAGATGTGTATCCCACATTGAAGAAAAGAGAAAGTTGTGTCTACTTTATAAGACTAAGAAGCTACTCCCTTCATATGATTTTGGTTGTATAAAGTGGACACTCATGGTGGGTGCGGCCCAGACCTGTTTATCAAAAACTAATAAGACTAATAGGTTTAATTAATTAACCGGCTTTATTCTCTTCTTACGTAGTACAAGTAATTTTTTTAATCAAAAATTACGGTGTATTATTATTGTTCACTTATTTTTTTCTTTAAACACTTTTAAATAAATTAATTTCTAATATGGAGTTTAAAATATGGAGTATTTTTTTCCAATAATCATATTTTCGAGTGTAGACAAGTTGCATGAGAGAGGTAAAAGATACCGGATAAATAATCTCCAATAATTCTCCATCCTCCTTTATCATTCCTCTCACATGTACTCGTTTTTAATAAAACGAACTTACTACAGTATTAATTGATTTAACCCTTGTTGAATATTCTTCTTGGATGATACAACCAAAGTTCAAAGGGAATACAAAAGGTTTAAAGCTGATAACATCTTCTGTAAACAAGAAGAATATCCAAGCACTAGGCACGCGTAAAACTTGTATTTTAACCAAAATTAATTAAATAAATAAACATGAAATCAAAAAACAAGAATTTGTCGGATACCAAAAGGGATGGGGAGTTGGGGACAGTCAAAGGGCACAGTGGATAAGGCGGTAAGGTCTTCGAGTAGGGTAATTTTAGGTATTATAAAAATAATATTCTGTACGTATACCAATGAAATAATTTAACTGATAATATTTTTAATAATCAATAAATAATAAGTATACCAATTGAATATTAATAAACTATTTATCAGGACGATTTCAACAAATACTCATAAGACTATATTTATTTATTGTTATTATTATTATTATATATAAAATCACAATCATTATTAGTGTCAACAAGATGCATAGATCATAAGTTCAAATCTCATATACCCTCTAGACTTCGACCAATCATCATATATTTATGTCAAATAATTATTCAATGAAGTACTTCCTCTGTTCTATTAATATTGCAACAAGTAAGAAATTACGCATTCCAAAGCACATCTTATATGCTAGATATCTATAATTGTGTAAGAGTAAAAATTATAAAAAGTTGATAAAGTAAAAGTATTTTATGAGACGAATCCTACACGATCCCACGTGACTATATTTTACTCAACGTATAAATCACATTATATAGTCAAACAAGAGTGATGAATAGTGTAAAAAGTCTATTATTACAATATTAATAAAATGAAAAAAGTATATATATACTTTCGTAGCATCAATATATATTTTTTTTTTCCTCTTAAAAATATGGAGTAATATATGCAAATCTATATAATGACAGAGCTTACATATTAGGAGGATTTTGATGTTTGATAGGTACTCCATAGTAGATTCGTTGGTTAACGAGACATGGCTTAGGCCATCCTTTCTTGGAAATGAAAGAGAAATTTTAAAAATAAAATAAAAATAAAAAGCTAGTACTAGCATGTTAATATGTTATTATTGTATCAAGTCCTATGTTTGTGTGAACTTTTTTTCCCCACACTTGATTCGTCGCAATATTTGTTTGCTCTTCTACTACTCCTTTGGAAAGACCACAGTCTCCAAACATGTGTCTTGTCGTTTCTCTATATGTTCCAACACGGAACATTTGACAATTAGGCGAGCTTCGGCTAGATCAGACGCGAAAAATTTAGACTTGATTAGTATTTCTTATGTTCGTCCAAATTAGAAAGATTCATATCATGTCAAAAAATATGTTAATATAATTGGAGCGCAAATTACTTGCTCCGTATTTAATTCTTCTAGGTCATGAGAACGATCCTTGTCAATATGGAGTGCCTAAATTAATTACATTCCCTAAATTGTTAAGTGGTAAAATTAATGATTCTAATTAATTAAATATAGATTGATTTAATTTGAGTCTTAAGTATTGTGTGGCAAGTTAAGCTTCACAAGAACGGGTACTGACACGAATACGGTTACGAAACGAATACGGGAAAACGTCTATCTCAAAATAAAGGATACGGACGGGTACGGGATTTTAAAATTCATACTCCCTGTGTCCCATAATACTTGAAATGTTAGGGTGGACACTTAGTTTGATAAAACTACAAGTGAATTCAATTAAAACATTTGTTTCTTGTATAAAAAGATTCTCTTTTGTATTTTGATATTGCAAGAAAACAAGTGGGTGAGAATGGGGTAAGTGAGGAGAAATAAAATATTGGAAAATATATTTTTATTAGTGGTCCTATTTCATATTTAGTAACGTGTCTAGTATTTTGGGACGGATGAAAAATGAAACCGTGTCAAGTATTATGGGACGGATTGTGTAATATATTTTAAAAAAAAAATAAAAAAAATTTGACCATATATTTGTCATTCCGTTCTTTCATTAGATCATATTATATCATATTAACGATGAGTTATATATAGGCATCCATATTATTTGATAATTACATTATTTATCTTATTTTACTTAAATTTTCTCATTAAAAAAAGTTAAACAGTTCATATCATAGTAGAATACGGTCCAAAATATATCGTCGTGTGTCTCACGAGTGTCAGGGTATCCACGGTAGTTGGATGAAGTGTCCATGTATCCTAGCAAGCCTTCTGGTTTTTCATTGACTAAGGTTATAATATGTTGAAATACAGAGTAATATTTGAAAATCAACAATTCATCTCATAAAAATGTTAATAAAATTTTGAGTATGGCTAAATAGTTGTCTGT